GTAACAATTCAATCCAATAAAACTGTGTCATTTTTTCGCTGGCCATTTTTTTTGAAGTGTACAAGTGTTTTGGCGTGCCTTCGGCTTTCAAAGTGCTTTCAAAACAGCGCGTTTCTTCCTTTGCCTTCTTCGCTCGATCACTCGAATGATCTGATGTCACAGAAGTAGAGTTGACATCACAAACTGTTCATCGCACGCGCTGAAGGGAAGATCGGCTTGGAGTTATCACCTCTAGCTCACCGATTTCTCGGCAATGGTGCTGTTTTTTCCCCTCTGTTTGTATTGTTTCCTCACTCGCCCACGGGACTGGATTTGAAATGGTGTAAGGTGGGAAACTGTGCAACAGGATAAGGCAAACGAAAAGAAAAGAAGAAGAAGAAGAAGAAGAAGAAGAAGAAGAAGAAGAAGAAGAAGAAGAAGAAGAAGAAGAAGAAGAAGAAGAAGAAGAAGAAGAAGAAGAAGAAGAAGAAGAAGAAGAAGAAGAAGAAGAAGAAGAAGAAGAAGAACAAGAAGAAGAAGAACAAGAAGAACAAGATGAAGAACAAGAAGAAGAACAAGAAGAAGAACAAGAAGAAGAAGAAAAAGAAGAACAAGAAGAACAAGAACAAGAACAGCGGCAGCAGCAACAGCAAGAAAAGAAAACCCAGGAACCAAAACGCGGAGCTTGACTCGCAGAGATAAAAAGCAATAAAATCGTAAGCCTACGACACGGGGTATTCCCAGGTGGTCACCCAGCCAAGTACTAATCCCGCCCGACAAGGTTTAACTTCGGTGTTCGGACGAGAACCGGTGCTTTCCTTGTGATATGGTCGTAGGCAAGGATATGGGGTGCAAATTGAGCGATTTAGCCTGCCTAGTGCAAATAGAACGCTGTAAAACATTTCGGTCCAGCTTTGCAAACCGTGAAGTCTCCCGCAGGTTAGGATCCCTATTTAAATGGGTTTCTGCCGAAAAAGAAACGACTTAAACAAAGTTTGGTACTAAATTCTTTCCTGTGTGGAGACTTAAAGAGACCCACTACTTTCCCGCACAATTTCACCTAAACTTACCCAGAATTCCGTGCAAGAAGGGATCTCTCATTACCGTAACAATTCAATCCAATAAAACTGTGTCATTTTTTCGCTGGCCAATTTTTTTGAAGTGTACAAGTGTTTTGGCGTGCCTTCGGCTTTCAAAGTGCTTTCAAAACAGCGCGTTTCTTCCTTTGCCTTCTTCGCTCGATCACTCGAATGATCTGATGTCACAGAAGTAGAGTTGACATCACAAACTGTTCATCGCACGCGCTGAAGGGAAGATCGGCTTGGAGTTTTCACCTCTAGCTCACCGATTTCTCGGCAATGGTGCTGTTTTTTCCCCTCTGTTTGTATTGTTTTCGCCCACTTCTCGATTTTTTCTTCTTCTGTCAACAGGATTTCTTCTTCTTCTTCTTCTTCTTCTTCTTCTTCTTCTTCTTTTCTTTTCGTTTGCCTTATCCTGTTGCACAGTTTCCCACCTTAAGTCCCGTGGGCGAGTCAAACAGAGGGGAAAAAACAGCACCATTGCCGAGAAATCGGTGAGCTAGAGGTGATAACTCCAAGCCGATCTTCCCTTCAGCGCGTGCGATGAACAGTTTGTGATGTCAACTCTACTTCTGTGACATCAGATCATTCGAGTGATCGAGCGAAGAAGGCAAAGGAAGAAACGCGCTGTTTTGAAAGCACTTTGAAAGCCGAAGGCACGCCAAAACACTTGTACACTTCAAAAAAAATGGCCAGCGAAAAAATGACACAGTTTTATTGGATTGAATTGTTACGGTAATGAGAGATCCCTTCTTGCACGGAATTCTGGGTAAGTTTAGGTGAAATTGTGCGGGAAAGTAGTGGGTCTCTCAATTGCATTTTTTTTTTTAAGTCTCCACACAGGAAAGAATTTAGTACCAAACTTTGTTTAAGTCGTTTCTTTTTCGGCAGAAACCCATTTAAATAGGGATCCTAACCTGCGGGAGACTTCACGGTTTGCAACTTCTTCTTCTTTTCTTTTCGTTTGCCTTATCCTGTTGCACAGTTTCCCAGCGAAGAAGGCAAAGGAAGAAACGCGCTGTTTTGAAAGCACTTTGAAAGCCGAAGGCACGCCAAAACACTTGTACACTTCAAAAAAAATGGCCAGCGAAAAAATGACACAGTTTTATTGGATTGAATTGTTACGGTAATGAGAGATCCCTTCTTGCACGGAATTCTGGGTAAGTTTAGGTGAAATTGTGCGGGAAAGTAGTGGGTCTCTCAATTGCATTTTTTTTTTTAAGTCTCCACACAGGAAAGAATTTAGTACCAAACTTTGTTTAAGTCGTTTCTTTTTCGGCAGAAACCCATTTAAATAGGGATCCTAACCTGCGGGAGACTTCACGGTTTGCAAAGCTGGACCGAAATGTTTTACAGCGTTCTATTTGCACTAGGCAGGCTAAATCGCTCAATTTGCACCCCATATCCTTGCCTACGACCATATCACAAGGAAAGCACCGGTTCTCGTCCGAACACCGAAGTTAAACCTTGTCGGGCGGGATTAGTACTTGGCTGGGTGACCACCTGGGAATACCCCGTGTCGTAGGCTTACGATTTTATTGCTTTTTATCTCTGCGAGTCAAGCTCCGCGTTTTGGTTCCTGGGTTTTCTTTTCTTGCTGTTGCTGCTGCCGCTGTTCTTGTTCTTGTTCTTCTTGTTCTTCTTTTTCTTCTTCTTCTTGTTCTTCTTCTTGTTCTTCTTCTTGTTCTTCCTCTTGTTCTTCTTCTTCTTCTTCTTCTTCTTCTTCTTCTTCTTCTTCTTCTTCTTTTTCTTCGTGTTCTTCTTCTTCTCCTTCTTCTTCTTCTTCTTCTTCTTCTTCTTCTTCTTCTTCTTCTTTTCTTTTCGTTTGCCTTATCCTGTTGCACAGTTTCCCACCTTACACCATTTCAAATCCAGTCCCGTGGGCGAGTGAGGAAACAATACAAACAGAGGGAAAAAACAGCACCATTGCCGAGAAATCGGTGAGCTAGAGGTGATAACTCCAAGCCGATCTTCCCTTCAGCGCGTGCGATGAACAGTTTGTGATGTCAACTCTACTTCTGTGACATCAGATCATTCGAGTGATCGAGCGAAGAAGGCAAAGGAAGAAACGCGCTGTTTTGAAAGCACTTTGAAAGCCGAAGGCACGCCAAAACACTTGTACACTTCAAAAAAAATGGCCAGCGAAAAAATGACACAGTTTTATTGGATTGAATTGTTACGGTAATGAGAGATCCCTTCTTGCACGGAATTCTGGGTAAGTTTAGGTGAAATTGTGCGGGAAAGTAGTGGGTCTCTCAATTGCATTTTTTTTTTTAAGTCTCCACACAGGAAAGAATTTAGTACCAAACTTTGTTTAAGTCGTTTCTTTTTCGGCAGAAACCCATTTAAATAGGGATCCTAACCTGCGGGAGACTTCACGGTTTGCAAAGCTGGACCGAAATGTTTTACAGCGTTCTATTTGCACTAGGCAGGCTAAATCGCTCAATTTGCACCCCATATCCTTGCCTACGACCATATCACAAGGAAAGCACCGGTTCTCGTCCGAACACCGAAGTTAAACCTTGTCGGGCGGGATTAGTACTTGGCTGGGTGACCACCTGGGAATACCCCGTGTCGTAGGCTTACGATTTTATTGCTTTTTATCTCTGCGAGTCAAGCTCCGCGTTTTGGTTCCTGGGTTTTCTTTTCTTGCTGTTGCTGCTGCCGCTGTTCTTGTTCTTGTTCTTCTTGTTCTTCTTTTTCTTCTTCTTCTTGTTCTTCTTCTTGTTCTTCTTCTTGTTCTTCCTCTTGTTCTTCTTGTTCTTCTTCTTCTTCTTCTTCTTCTTCTTCTTCTTCTTCTTCTTCTTCTTCTTCTTCTTTTTCTTCGTGTTCTTCTTCTTCTCCTTCTTCTTCTTCTTCTTCTTCTTCTTCTTCTTCTTCTTCTTCTTCTTTTCTTTTCGTTTGCCTTATCCTGTTGCACAGTTTCCCACCTTACACCATTTCAAATCCAGTCCCGTGGGCGAGTGAGGAAACAATACAAACAGAGGGGAAAAAACAGCACCATTGCCGAGAAATCGGTGAGCTAGAGGTGATAACTCCAAGCCGATCTTCCCTTCAGCGCGTGCGATGAACAGTTTGTGATGTCAACTCTACTTCTGTGACATCAGATCATTCGAGTGATCGAGCGAAGAAGGCAAAGGAAGAAACGCGCTGTTTTGAAAGCACTTTGAAAGCCGAAGGCACGCCAAAACACTTGTACACTTCAAAAAAAATGGCCAGCGAAAAAATGACACAGTTTTATTGGATTGAATTGTTACGGTAATGAGAGATCCCTTCTTGCACGGAATTCTGGGTAAGTTTAGGTGAAATTGTGCGGGAAAGTAGTGGGTCTCTCAATTGCATTTTTTTTTTTAAGTCTCCACACAGGAAAGAATTTAGTACCAAACTTTGTTTAAGTCGTTTCTTTTTCGGCAGAAACCCATTTAAATAGGGATCCTAACCTGCGGGAGACTTCACGGTTTGCAAAGCTGGACCGAAATGTTTTACAGCGTTCTATTTGCACTAGGCAGGCTAAATCGCTCAATTTGCACCCCATATCCTTGCCTACGACCATATCACAAGGAAAGCACCGGTTCTCGTCCGAACACCGAAGTTAAACCTTGTCGGGCGGGATTAGTACTTGGCTGGGTGACCACCTGGGAATACCCCGTGTCGTAGGCTTACGATTTTATTGCTTTTTATCTCTGCGAGTCAAGCTCCGCGTTTTGGTTCCTGGGTTTTCTTTTCTTGCTGTTGCTGCTGCCGCTGTTCTTGTTCTTGTTCTTCTTGTTCTTCTTTTTCTTCTTCTTCTTGTTCTTCTTCTTGTTCTTCTTCTTGTTCTTCTTCTTCTTCTTCTTCTTCTTCTTCTTCTTCTTCTTCTTCTTCTTCTTCTTTTTCTTCGTGTTCTTCTTCTTCTTCTTCTTCTTCTTCTTCTTCTTCTTCTTCTTCTTCTTCTTCTTCTTCTTCTTCTTTTCTTTTCGTTTGCCTTATCCTGTTGCACAGTTTCCCACCTTACACCATTTCAAATCCAGTCCCGTGGGCGAGTGAGGAAACAATACAAACAGAGGGGAAAAAACAGCACCATTGCCGAGAAATCGGTGAGCTAGAGGTGATAACTCCAAGCCGATCTTCCCTTCAGCGCGTGCGATGAACAGTTTGTGATGTCAACTCTACTTCTGTGACATCAGATCATTCGAGTGATCGAGCGAAGAAGGCAAAGGAAGAAACGCGCTGTTTTGAAAGCACTTTGAAAGCCGAAGGCACGCCAAAACACTTGTACACTTCAAAAAAAATGGCCAGCGAAAAAATGACACAGTTTTATTGGATTGAATTGTTACGGTAATGAGAGATCCCTTCTTGCACGGAATTCTGGGTAAGTTTAGGTGAAATTGTGCGGGAAAGTAGTGGGTCTCTCAATTGCATTTTTTTTTTTAAGTCTCCACACAGGAAAGAATTTAGTACCAAACTTTGTTTAAGTCGTTTCTTTTTCGGCAGAAACCCATTTAAATAGGGATCCTAACCTGCGGGAGACTTCACGGTTTGCAAAGCTGGACCGAAATGTTTTACAGCGTTCTATTTGCACTAGGCAGGCTAAATCGCTCAATTTGCACCCCATATCCTTGCCTACGACCATATCACAAGGAAAGCACCGGTTCTCGTCCGAACACCGAAGTTAAACCTTGTCGGGCGGGATTAGTACTTGGCTGGGTGACCACCTGGGAATACCCCGTGTCGTAGGCTTACGATTTTATTGCTTTTTATCTCTGCGAGTCAAGCTCCG